AGGAGAGGACGACGGTGTGGCTTATGGAAGCGTTCGCAACGATGTACGAGCAATCGTCAGCTGCAAATAAGGTACATCTCGTCAAGACGCTATTCAACCTTAAGATGCCAGAAGGATATTCCTTCACGATGCATCTCAGCGAGTTCAACACGATTGTTGATCAACTTATCTCAGTCGACATCAAGTTCCTTCACGATGCATCTCAGCGAGTTCAACACGATTGTTGATCAACTTATCTCAGTCGACATCAAGTTTGATGACGAAGTGCAGGCCCTATTGATACTATCGCAGTTGCCGGATAGTTGGGCAGGTTGCATGACCGCAATCAGCAACTCGGCGGGAAATGAGAAGTTAAAGCTGAAGGAGGTAGTAGCTATGATTCTATCCGAGGAGGTTAGAAGAAAATCTAATGAATTAGAAGGTTCAGGTTCAGCCCTAAGTCTCGAGCAAAGAGGCAGAAGCCATAATAGGGGAAACCAAAACAGGAATCGATCGAAGTCGAAGAAGAAAAGGTCGAACTCGTAAGTGAGACCTATCAAAGGGAAATGTTAGAACTGTAGCCAGGAGGGCCACATGTCTTCTACCTGTAAAGTACTAAAGAAAAATGAGCAGGAGGCTCATATTATGCAAGATGCGCTGATTCTCGCTATGGATAGCAATTCTGATTCATGGGTTATTGATTCGGGAGCCTCATTCCACGCCACTCCTAATAGAAGGCTATTTTAGAACTATATAGCAGGGGACTTTGGGAAGGTATACTTGGGGGATAATGAACCCTGTAGTGTAATTGGAAGGGACGACGTGTAAATACAGCTAAAGGGCCCTCTAAGTGGTCTCTGAAGAATGTCAGACACGTACCAAAGTTGAAGAGAAATCTTATTTTGGTAGGTCATCTTGGAGGAGAAGGTTATGTACATTCATCAGAGATTCGTGGAAAATCTCCAATGGTACAATGGTGGTTGCCCGAGGCAACAAGACCGGTACCATCTACCTAACTTCACACGCGAGTAACACCCTCGCGATTGCTACAGGAAAAGAGAGTGCAGATCTGTATGAGGTCTAGCTAGCGTGTCTTCTCTTGCCGGTTCGGCATACTACGTCACCTTTATCGACGATCACTCGAAGAAGGTGTGGGTATACTTCATGAAGCACAAGTCGGAGGTATTTAACATTTTCAAGAAGTGGAAAGCCATGGTGGAGAATGAGACAGATCTGAAAGTGAAGTGTCTGAGATCAGACAATGGTGGAGAATATAAATTGGAGGAGTTCAAGAAGTTCTATGCTCTGAATGGGATTCGTTTGGAGAGGACTACTCCAGGGACGCCACAATAGAATGGCATAGCAGAAAGAATGAACAAAACGCTGACAGAGCGTGCGAGGAACATGCGTCTACATGCAGGTCTACCAAAAACTCTTTGGGCGGACACAGTGCATACAGCAGCGTACCTGATAAATCATGGGTCATCAGTTCCATTGAACTTTGGGATTCCGGAAGAGGTTTGGAGTGGTAAGAAGATTAATCTCTCACACTTGAGAGTCTTTGGGTGCGTGGCATATGTCCACATCAGTGACCATGTCAGGGACAAGCTAGAAGCTAAGTCACTGAAGTGTACATTCATTGGATACGGTATTGATGAGTTCGGGTATCGTCTGTGGGATGAGAAGAATAGGAAAATCATCAGGAGTCGTGACGTCATATTCAATGAGGAAGTGATGTACAAGGACAGGGACAATGCCAAGGCGGGCCAAAGCAGTGGGAACAGCACTACGAATGCTAACACATCTGAGTACATGGATTTGGACGAACTTCCAGATGGGGGAGACAATGTTAATTCTGACCAAAGAACGGAGGAGACTCCAGGTGCAGAACCGACTACCCAGGACGAGGAGCTTAGGAGGTCATCCAGGGTACCCAAACCGAATCTCAGGTATCTCTCGTCACTAGACTACCTACTTCTGACAGATAGCGGAGAACCAGAATGCTATGAGGAGGCTATGCAAGTGAGCGAATCTCAGTAGTGGGAGCATGCAATGCAAGAAGAGATGGATTCTCTTCACTCGAATGAGACATGGGAGTTAGCCCAGCTACCTACACAGAAGAAGGTCTTACATAACAAGTGGGTTTACCGAGTCAAGCAGGAGACTGATGGAAGGATGAGATACAATGCCAGATTAGTCGTGAAGGGGTTCTAACAGCGGGAAGGAGTAGATTATACGAAGATATTTTCCCCGTTATGAAGCTCACAACTATCAGGGTGGTGTTGAGCTTGGTAGCTGCTAAAAATATCTACCTTGAGCAGTTAGATGTGAAGATTGCCTTTCTTCATGGCGACTTGGATGAAAAAATCTACATGAAGTAACCTGTTGGCTTCATTGAGGAAGGAAATGAAGAGATGGTGTGTAGGCTCAAGAAGAGCTTTTACGGATTGAAACAGGCTCCACGGCAGTGGTATAAGAAGTTCGATAACTTCATGCAAAGCAATGGCTATGGCAGATGCAATTCAGATCATTATTGTTACTTCAAGAGATTCGAGTCCAGATATATCGTGTTATTGCTGTATGTCGATGACATGTTAGTTGCAGGATCATGTTTACAAGAGATAAACAAGTTGAAGAAGTAATTAGGAAAGGAATTTGCCATGAAGGATCTGGGTGCAGCGAAACAGATTCTTGGGATGCGGATCAGCTGGGATACGACTGAGGGGACGTTAAAGTTGAGTCAATCTAAATACATTAAGAAGGTACTTCAGAGATTCAACATGTAGAATGCTAAGATTGTTTGCACGCCCCTTGGAAGCCAGTTCAAGTTATCTCGTGAACAATCACCCAAAACTGATGCAGAGAAGGAGCACATGAGGAATGTGATGTATTCATTAGCCATTGGTAGTCTGATGTATGCAATGGTTTGCACAAGGCCGGATATTGCCTATACAGTAGGAGTTGTGAGCAGGTTTGCAAGCAACCCAGGGAAGCAGCATTGGGAGGTCGTGAAGTGGATATTGCGATATCTGAAAGGGACTACGAATATGTCACTGTGTTTCGGGAGAAAGGAGTTGGTACTGCAAGGATACGTGGATGCAGATTTTGCTGGTGATCATGATACAAGGTGAAGCACTACGGGGTATGTTTATACCTTAGGGTCGACAGCAGTGAGCTGGGTCTCACGTTTGCAAAAGATTGTGACATTGTCCATAACTACGGCAGAGTATGTCGCAGTGACAGAGGCGAGCAAGGAGATGATTTGGTTAACCGGGTTCCTGGAAGAGTTGGGTCTGAAGCGGGGAACGAGGTTCTTTATTGTGATAGCCAGAGTGCTATACACCTTACCAAGAACCCAGTGTTAAGCACATTGAGTTACGTTACTACTTCATACGCTCGATGATTGAGGACGGGAAGTTACAGTTAGAAAAGATTTTGCGGATCCAAAATCCTACAGATATGTTGACTAAAGCAATCACCATTCAGAAACTGGAGTTGTGCGCAACTTCAGTTGGTCTTTATATGTAAGAGATGAGGGCGGAGCCACACAGGAGAAGATGCTTGTTAAGAGAGAGCTTGCTGACGGCGGTTTGATCTCCAAGTGGGAGATTATTGGAAATTTGGGTGTAGATCCAAACCTCGTCGGTGAGGTGCTCTGGCGAGGTCATCCAACTTAGGCGAGCTTGCGGCAGATTGCAGGCGAGCTTTGGAGAAGACCCGCAGGCGAGATTCACTCATGAGAGTTTAGTTGCTGGCGAGATCTGAAATCGACAGGCGAAGTCGAAGCTACAGGCGGAGCTGATGGCGACTTCGTGAAAGGCTGCAGGCGGACTTGAACTCGAGCGGGTCCCACGTACAGGCGAGGTCCTCTTGCAGGCAAGCTTGCCCAAGATCTGGCGAGCTCGAGAGGGCTTTCAGGCGAGGTCGACGACGCGAAGGCAGGCGAGCTTGTGATCGACGACTTCAGGCGAGGTCGTGATAGTTGCAGGCGAGCTCTAGCGCGGTGCGGGCGAGGCTCGAGATCTAGCGAGCTCGAAGATCGCCTCCCCCTTCTTTCTTCGCCTGTGGTTGAGGGAGACAGCCTGGATCCAGGCTGGCTAGGGTTTCCCTATAAAAGGGAAACCCATGAGCACGAGATCAGTGTAGCCGCGATTTTCTTCTTCAGAGCGATAACTCCTGGGGCGGCGCCATTAATTGAGCTCAAGATTTTCAGAGGAAAATCTCGCTCAGTTATTTTGTGAAGTCCTGTAGCGATTTATTGAAGAGAGAGGAGTTTTTCCAGCTGGAAAAACTCGTGCCTTTTTTTAGAACAACGGATAGCTTTCTGTTGGCTCTTCTTTTGAGAGATCTCAAGTTGAGATCTGCTCTTTACAAGCTTTATAATCTTCTTTTAATATAAAGGAAATTATTTGTGTGGCTCCCGAGGACGTAGGCAAATTGCCGAACCTCGTTAAAACTCGGTGTTCTCTATTCTTGTAATTATTTTTGATTTGGTATGATTTCTTTTTTTCATTGCTTAACACAAGATCCGGTAGGGCAAATTCCGCAGAACGGGTGTGAGAACGTATCTGATATTTTCCCAACAATTACACTGGTAACCCTAGAGTTTGCGCATCTACGGTAATCTCACGTCGCCTGTAGTGCTGATACAAAGAATTAAAGGAATTACCCCCATCTCTTAGGACACCTTGTAATTAATCCTCTAACTAAGGATTCATCTTAAAACAATAATTATTAAATAGAACTCCATGATTATCTTAAACGCTGCACTTGAATAGGTGTTTAGGAATTGACACTTGCAGTTCGATGACTAGTTTACACGGCCCAGAAGAAGAGGCTTCCAGCAAAAGAGTCAAGAGACGGTCATCATCTCTACATCAAACGAAACCGTTGGCCAGCACTTTAAGACTTGTCCAATTATGAAGCTTTTTTTTCCTATCAAAAATAATTTAAAACCAAATAATCCATTCAAAACATTGCTGCCAGCGGAGAGAGAGGGAGGAGTAACTATCAAACACAGCCGACTTAGATGTTTCAGTGTTTTTTCTTTTTCAAAATTTGTTTGATGTCAATTCTTGTGATAGAAATGGAAACCCCTTCTACACAAAACCCGCATCATAAATTCCCTTGAGCGGTGTTCATGTTTCTACTATATCCTCCTTGTTTTGTTGAATAACAACATTGCATTGTTTAATTGGTAGCTTGAGTGAAGTCATGGGAAAGGAAATGATACCTAGCCCTCCAGACCCTGTTATCATTGAACTTAACAGGTTGGAGAACAATCTCAGAGGTATAACTTTGCCAAATTCTCTCTTATTATCAACTACTGTATGCGGGATTTCAAGAATTTGGTTCTCTCTTTATTGCTGTGTTTATTATTGTTCCTTTTGCACTGAGCTCCTCAATTTCGTTTTCTAAGCTTTGTGGCCATTTATCTTTTTATTTGAAGATTCAGTATAGGATTATCACCTACATGGTTATCTCCGTTCTTTGGTCTCTTCGCATATCTGTTTGTGTTGTCTAGTTTCAGTCATATTGGAAAATGTTGGGTTTCTTTTTCCTTGCGTTTATATTCATTTAGTTAATAATTTATTGATGTGCAATGACATTTTCCAAAAAGAAAAGGAAACTGCCTCTTGAAATAGTTGTTACATCTTGTCCGTGGCGAATTTTTGGTTTGGCTTTATCTGACCTTTCCTTAGCTTGATTCTAGATAGAGCTACTTAGCTAACCCTTTTATCTTGGAAGGTTGTTGAGTTATGGATTTGAGAATGGTACGTATATATTTTTCTCATGATAGGAGTTAAGAAACATTTGATCGATTACCATTGCTTGAGTTTGGCTTCACTTTGTTTTCATCTTTCCTTCCTTTCAATTGTGGTTTTCCTACTTTGGACATACCTTGTAATTGGAATTTTGCTCTTGTGTATGCTTCTATTTTACTCCCTTTACTATGGGGTTATTTAGTGGGTAGGTAATTTTATTTGTTACACATTTGGATGATGCATGCGCATGGTATTGTAATGCAACTACATTTTAAAGCTAACAAACTCTTTGTTTACTCCGGATAATAGTGCAAGCTACTTTCAACTACTATAAACTTTGCTCATCTCGTCTCAAACTTTAATATCATGTCATGTTACGGAGCAACCATACCTTGTTTATCACTGACTCTGGCAGAAACTTGCAAGCAAATATTTGAGTCTAAGAAATGAATCTAATTGTTATATCCTTAATGATCTAATGTCTGATACATGTTGAATTACACACTGATATTCCCTTTCGTCGACTGAGAATTTTCTCCAATTTTCGATCGTACCCTGTTCTTGACAGTACTTGCATATTGGCTCCTCAACACACAAACCATCTATAAAATATATTTAAAATAAAATCAAAATCAATTGTGTATTCAATTTAAATGTAGTGAATATGCAGATAGTATATAGTATCAACTAGGTCGAGCAAGTTTCCAAGGTGAGTGGCTATTTCAGGAGTGATCATAAGTTCAAAATATAGGATAGCTTCTCTTGAGCTATCATGAAATCAGAAAATGTGATTTGTAAGAATGATTTCGTTGCACGCTGTTTACTTCTGTTGCCAACTTATTGTATTTATTGGTCTACAGAAAAGGAGAGGGAGCTGGGAGTTGCTCACTGTGAAATTAAGGCCTTGAAGGTGACTGAACTTCTGAAGGATAAAGCTGTAGTAGAGGTTGCTCACTGTGAAATTAAGGCCTTGAAGGTGACTGAACTTCTGAAGGATAAAGCTGTAGTAGAGGTAATAAATTAACTGAATAGATAAGGCCTTGAAGGTGACTGAACTTCTGAAGGATAAAGCTGTAGTAGAGGTAATAAATTAACTGAATAGAAAGTTTGCAATTTATTTCGAGTGTGCCGTGTGCTTATCTTTCATTTACCTTCAGCTAAGCAATGAGCTGACAAAGCTTGAATCGAAGCTGAGAAATGTCGAGAAACATCTTCAAGATAAGGTGCTTGACAATTATTCTCAGGAGTTTACTTTCTTAATTTTATCAACTTTGTGTAGCTTTCATTATTTATTTATAAAATTAAATATATAATGCATCACAGAATCTTGAGATAAAAAAACTACTGAATGAGAAGAAAGAGGCATTGGCTGCACAATTTGCGGCAGAAGCAACTCTAAGAAGAGTTCATGCAAATCAAAACAATGAAGAGTTTGTTCCAGTTGAGGCTATTATAGCTCCCTTTGAGTCTGATATTAGAAAGTACAAATTTGAGGTATGAAACTAAGCTTGCCGGACAACAATTACAAAGTAAAAGCATTGTTTTTTTTTTACTGTGTCTTGTTCTGTAAACTGCAGATTGCATCTCTACAAGAGGACATAAAGGCATTAGAGAGACTAATAAAATCCAAAGATGTAGCATTAGTAGAAGCTGAAAGAACATTGCATTCTGCTAATGAACGGGCAATGATTGTAGAAAATTTGCAAAACCAGAACCTTGAACTGAAGAGGCAAAAAGAGATATGCCAGGTATAGCCACAATTTGTTGGCATTTTTTTCTCCCTTTCGAATATATTTTATACATGACTACCATGTCTCAGGAAGAAAACAGACTACTAGAGAAAGCGAACAGGCAGAAGGTTTTGGAGGTTGAGAGTCTTTTTCAGACTATCAGGGAACTTGAGGAATCCATTCTTGCTGGTGGTGCAGTTGCTAACGCGGTCCGCGACTACCAGAGGCAGGTCGCTGAGTTAAATGTAAGTTACATGAACCTTAAATTCTGGCCCAACTTTCAATTTAATTTTATTACTATTTGCAACTCTTTTGAGTGCAGCACTAAACTAATGAATTCTCAGAAAAAGGATGCCTTAGGCTTAACTTTGTTCGGTGGTATCAGTTTCTATGAATTCTAAGCTATTACCAAACTGTAACATAGGAAGAGAAGAAGACTCTTGAAAGGGAACTGGCCAGAACTAAGGTCTCAGCAAATCGCGTGGCAGCAGCAGTAGCAAATGAGTGGAAAGACGAAGGCGAGAAACTCATGCCTGTCAAGCAATGGATAGAAGAGCGCAGGTTTTTGCAGGTAGTGCCTGCGTATGTGTGAATTCTGTCGCTAGTTATATGCTTTAAATGTCGTATTGAGGCTACATCATTAGCTAGATATAATATGATTTTTATTTTACTAGGAAGCTTTAGTTATACAAATAGCTTTAGTAGTCGTGTATTTTATCTGCAGGGAGAGATACAGAGGTTGAGAGACAAGCTAACTATATCAGAACGAACTGCCAAGGCTGAAACTCAACTCAGGGTAGGAGATGCTACGAACATAATTTCTTTTTTTTTTTCATTTAAACTGTCCACATGCGTAATAAATATTTCCCTTCCCTAACCCCCCAAACCCCTCCCTTTACAGGATAAATTCAAGCTGAGGCTAAAGATACTAGAAGAAGGTTTGAAGGGTGCATCAAATTCTGAGCCAGTGAATGGATCTAAATTTTGTAATGGAAGTATAAACAAGCGATCATCATCTCAGACAAGGGCTTTTGTTGCTTCCATTAGTAGTTCAGTCCTCCAGCAGCCTGATCCAGTTTCAGTTGTGGAATCAACTGGAAAAATAGTACGAACAAATAGCTTGAACAAAAAGTTCAGTGCTAGGGAAATTCTTGCTAAAAAGAATTTATGGGCCCCAAGAAGCAAATTCTTTGATGGTCGCGGGAAGGAGAATTCAGAAGAAAAGGTTAATTCTAATGGGCATGTACATGTTATTAGTCCTGAAAAAGAAGAGGTTTCCAAAGAAGTGAAAACCAGTGATTATGACGATATTGCACCACAAACTAACGGTAATCTGGAAGATAAGAGTAAAGATTTGGTTTCAGGTTTTCTTTATGACAGATTGCAGAAGGAGCTTATTGATTTAAGGAAATTGCTTGAGCAGAAAGATGGAGCATTGAGTGTGAAGGATGATGAGATCAAGGTGAGGAACATAGTTAAGTGCTTAATCAATATTCTGAAAGGTTGTTGTTGTTTATTTTTGTGATTTATGCAGTTGCTTCGAAGAAAGATCGATGCTCTGAGCAAGGCATTGGAAGTAGAGTCCAAGAAGATGAGGAGAGAAGCTGCAATAAGAGAGAAAGAAATAATGATCAATTTTGATGATAATAAACAAAAACTCAAGGCTACAAGCAATTACAAAAGGTATATCCTTGCTTTTCTTAATTGAAAGGAACTCCCTGAATAAATTTGTAAGTTCTCCCAATTTTCAGAGGTATTATATTAGTTTCTGAAAGGGAAAAAAGAGCAGGAAAATGAACTCATTCTGAACCTCAAAGCAATATTCTTTGCACTTCTATATCTATATGTAGAAGCACAAATGCACCTCAGACAGAAGTTAACTGAATAATGGTGGCAAAATGAAACTATATATATTACTAATATTCAAAATAGAACTTTTATCACTTGCAATGAGACATCCGTATTTCTATCATAAAACATATGAAACTAATGTGCTATCTTCGATATCGCCATGCCATACGATGTCAAGAATCAAAATTGTTTATCTTTTTCAAGCTCTTTTTCCTTTATGCAGCCTTGATTATCATTCTGATACTAATGTTACCTTATTGGTTACTATTTCTTCAGATCTGTGAAGTCACTGAGTGCAAGCACTTAAGTTTGGAAAGGATGAAGTCTGCTTCATGAGAAGCCAAGGGCTGTACTTGAATTGTTGGGTCTATTTGTAAATATTAAACATAAGATAATACAAGTTGTTATGAAATTTCCTTTGTTAATACTGAAAAGATGATAAGTGTAAAGTGCATGTCTTGTTATGCTTTACCGATTCAGTGTTCTCAAAAGAGTAATAAATCTGGCTCTTCTCAATGGGGGAGAACAAACTGTCAGTTAGTTCAGTTTTTACAATTTCTAACACACCAAACTGAGCCGATTTAAAAATGAAACCGATCCAAAAGAAACCTAGTTATTTCGGTTCACTTTGGTCAGTTCTGGGTTGTTATGAGCTTTTTCACCTCCAACAGAAAAAGTATGGGTTTTTGCCATGATCAGAAATACAAAAGAGAAGAAGAAATTGTGATATTGAAGGCCAAAGAAGATAATAGATAACAGGTGTTGGCTTCGGGTGTAGATCCAAACCTTAGAACAAGCATGCAAATCAAAGATTTCTCTAAGTTAAAAAATCAGGCGAACTTGATAGTTCAGATAAACTTGGAAATTCAGGCGAAGCTCGAAGCTGAGTTCAGGCGAACCTACAGTTCAGGCGAGCTTTAGAAGTTCAAGCGAACTTGGAAGATCAAACGAGCATTGGAGGTTCAGGCGAAGTCCAAGTGCTGGCGAGCTCCAAGTACAGGCGAGCTCTAAGTGCTGGCGAACATAAGTCATACAGGAGAGCTTTGCAATTAGGTGAACTCACAGAAAACAGATTCCTGGTCTGTTTTTGATACGGGTGTATCTTATCTTTAGAAAAGCGATCCTCATGGGAGCTTGAGGATAGGTGATTCTCATGATATCTTAAGAATAGTAGTGTGAAGCGATACAGCGGAGCACAGGTGGAAGCGTGGAACGAGATGGCGAGCAGCAGATTCGAAGAATCCAGATTTCAGCTCGTGAGTCGACTCATACATGTACATGAGTCGACTCATCATGTTGAGTCGACTCATGACTGTCATGAGTCGACTCACGAAACTCAGCCGTTTTGTCAAAAGCTTCTGCTCGGTCAACTCATCAGCTTATGGGTCGACTCATCAGTCATGAGTCGACTCATATGCAGTCATGAGTCGACTCATCAAGATTTCCTAGGCAGACTCGGTTTCTGTTTTGAAGGAATTCTAGTTTGGTTTGGTTTTGGTTATTTACCAGATTGTCATCATGTTGTAAACCCTATAAATAGGGACTGTTTAGGATTCTAAACAGGAAGTGAGAGGTCAAGATGTAGATCTAAAGGGTTTTAGGTCTAAGTGGGATCCTGATCAAAAGGATTAGGGTTTAGATTTGTGAGGATCTTAGAGATCTTAGATCAGAGAGATTCTAATCTTTGTATTAGGGTTTAGAGAGGATTGAGAGATTGTTCTCGATTCTAGTGAGCTTGCGAGGAAGAGATTTATAATAATTGATTCTTCATAATCTAGAGAAGGTATTTTCCTTCGTCATATACTGAATTGTTCTTGTGTTTTAGTTGTCTTCTTCCCAACCCACCTTTTGGTAATTTCACGATCAAATGGTGCTCGCACGGCAACTCGTATCAAGTTGGTATCAGAGAATCAGATCCGGTGAAGGGGCATCCTGTGTATGGTCCTGACTCGATCGCAATACAAGAAGCTTAGCGAGATCCTTTTCTTTGGAAGGAGTTCAGAGATTAAGAAAGAAGAAGATGACTGAAGTCAACAAAGATGGAGGGGCTCGAGAGTTTCCTCAGGTGAAGTTCTAACTTAAATGAAACTTCAAGTTTCTAAAGAGGGGACCCATGATACGGGTATATATTCTTTTTAGAAAAGCGATCCTCATGGGAGCTTAAGGATAAGTGATTCTCATGATATCTTAAGAATAGTGGTATGAAGCGATACGACGGAGCACAGGTGGAAGCATGGAACGAGACGGCGAGCAGTTGATTCGAAGAATCCAGATTGCAGCTCGTGAGTCGACTCATACATGTACATGAGTCGACTCATCATGTTGAGTCGACTCATGACTGTCATGAGCAGCCGTTTTGTCAAAAGCTTCTGCTCGGTCGACTCATCAGCTTATAAGTCGACTCATCAATCATGAGTCGACTCATATGCAGCCATGAGTCGACTCATCGAGGTTTCCTGGGCAGACTTGAATTCTGTTTTGAAGGAATTCTAGTTTGGTTTGGTTTTGATTATTTACCAGATTGCCACCACGTTGTAAACCCTATAAATAGGGACTGTTTATGGTTCTAAACAGGAAGTGAGAGGTCAAGATGTAGATCTAAAGGGTTTTAGGTCAAAGTGAGATCCTGATCAAAAGGATTAGGGTTTAGATTTGTGAGGATCTTAGATCAGAGAGAGATTCTAATCTTTGTATTAGGGTTTAGAGAGGATTAAGAGGTTGTTCTCGATTCTAGTGATATTGTGAGGAAGAGATTTGTAATAATTGATTCTTCATAATCTAGAGAATGTATTTTTCTTCGCCATACTGAATTGTTCTTGTGTTTTAGTTGTCTTCTTCTCAACCCATCTTTTGATAATTCCGCGACCAAAGGGTGCTCGCACGGCAACTCGTATCAGTTTTGACCTAGGGTTTCCCTATAAATAAGGAACCATGACTGCCACTTAAACAGAACTTTGGTAGAGCGATTCCTGTAGCGATTTTTTGGCAGAGATTTTTGCAGCGCCTTGAGCTGCGATTTTTCAGAGAAAAATCTCACACCTTGAGAAATAAAAAGAGAGATATTTTTGAGTGATTTCAAGGAGTTTGAGATCATCTCTTGCAAGCTTTGTAATTTTTTTTAATATTCAAAGGAATTTTTTTGTGTGGCTCCCGAGGACGTAGACAAGTTGCCGAACCTCGCTAAAATTTTGGTGCTCTCTTCTATTTTTTCCTTACAAAGTTTTCTTTTATTTGCTGTGATTTCTTCTTACCTTCTTTCAACACAAGATTCAGAGGGCACGTTCCGCAAGAGGGTTTATTTGACAGGTTGTCGATAGGATGAATCCCCAACAATTGGTATCAGAGTTTCATTCGGATTAGATCTGTGTGAGAGCTATGGCAGAAGAAGACAAATCAAATATTGAGAAGTTTGATAGATCAGACTTCGCCTACTAGAAGTCACAGATAGAGGACTATCTATAGCAGAAGGATTTTTAGCGTTCGTTGATAGGTAAAGCAAAAGGAAAGAAGAAAGATGAGACCGACGAGGACTGGGAAATATTGGATCGAAAGGTTCTAGGGTAGATCTGATTGTTGTTGGCCTTCTTGTTTTGATGATGATTTACAAACAATTTACTACTAATGTTGTTTGTCTAGTGTTTGTGCATTCGTATGTATTGTAGACAAACAACGTTGTTGGAGGATGGATGGAATAGAGCTTCAACGATCATATCCAAAGGAGGTTGGCGGAATGTCGGTGAAGCCTTGCTATTCAAAGTTCAAGATCCAAGTTAAAGCTTCATCCGCAAGATTACCAAGATAGAGCTTCGTTGAAGATCAAGATTGCTTGGGTAATTTAGTTTAGGAATTTATATTATGTGTGTTAGTACTTTAAGCTCAATCATATACACACATACACGTTTTGGTTTTTGTATATATATAGTTATATATATACATATATGTTTTGGTTTGATAGTTTTCAAGTTTTACTATGAAACAAATGAATAGAATTGGAAAATACTATTTTGTTTCATGTTCATATGCCTATATATGATTTCCCCTTTAACAAGCTTATATTTAATGAAATCATATTTAGTGTTTTGAATATATTTGCATAGAATATACAATTTTATGAAAATATTCCATTTCTAGGTTATAGACTTCATAACAACATATTATATCTTTTATCAAGTCTATACAATCATTTCATAAGGTTTCAAAATGTTGTTTAAGTCAAAATATCAAAATATCAATTTTTAGGTTTTCATGTTTTGGACTAGTTTGTAAAATGATGATATTTTTCTTTTGGGAAGTCCTTTTTGATAACCAGTCATTGTAGCATGTTTATTATCATGTCTACAATCATTCCCCAAAGTTTTACATTTTTTGGAATTTATTTGATATTTTTAAACAGTGTTTTAAAATCAGCTCTAAAACCGATTTTTTCTGGAATGTCAGTTTTCGGTCGACCGGTACGGTCGACCGGTCAATTGACCATTCGTCAGTATTTCTCCAGAGAGTCGTCAGTCGACCGGTCCGTTCGACTGAGAGCTCAAATCGGTCGACCGACAGAATTTCCGGTCGACCGACGTTAGTCCAGAAAGTTTTCTTCGTGTTTTTGCTCTCATCGGTCGACCGACGGGATTTTCGGTCGACCGACAATGTGACCGTTGGACTTCTAACGGCTATTTCTGAGCTGTTTCTCTGGGGGCTGTTTTGTCATTTGTTTTGGGGGTTTTTGCTGAGATTTCTAGTGGGTATATATACCCCATTGCTGATGTCTTTTCAAAATAGATTAAGAGAGTTTTAAAAAAACAAGTTTAAGAAAGTTTTAAACAAGGGTTTGAGTTTGTTTAGTTTGTTTTTGGGGTTTGTTGTTACAAAGAGGAGCTTGCATCACCAGTTGAGGATTTCATCCTCAAAATCTTCTCATCCTCTCTTTGTGTTTATAGAGAAGTTTTCTAACTCTTTTCTAACTCTTTTCCCTAGCTATTTGAGTTAGATTTTATTTTACTCATTGTTACACACACCCACATTGAGCTTTTAGTATTTACATACATAGTATAGTTGGGTGGTGAGAGATTGTAACCTTGAGTTGTGCTTTCATTGTGTTCTCATCTATTGTAGAGAACAATTTATATTTGTTACATTGTGAGATTGTTAGGTTTTCGGTGAGCTAGAAACCGAGTGTGGTGTGAAAGTTTTCGGTGAACTAGAAAACCGATTGTGAGGAGTGACGTTGATCGGTGAGCGTTGAAAACCGATACTGTGAGGTGTAAACGTTGTTCGGGTGAACGTAGAAAACCCGGTTGTGATAGTGGATTTCTCCCCGGGAGTGGGGAGCGGAGACGTAGGACGGAAGGTCCGAACTCCGTGATCATATTGCTTGTTTGAGTGTGCTTTGGCGTTCTTTCATATTTATGTTCATATCTTATATCGCCATTATCATTAG